AGATAATACTGAAAACACTCCGCCCCCCCCGTTTTTTTCCAGCTGGATCAGTTTCCAGCCTTACTCTACAAAAAACGTTGTCAGTAGGAGGCGATACAAGACTGAGAACAAATAGCTGGTGAAGGCAGGGCGGCGTGAGACAGTCCTCTTGCTTTAAGCACTGCATGCTGAGCTATGTTCTCATGTGCCACCTCTTCTCCTATGGCACTAACGGCTCTTTTTCTTAATGCAGCCACCATGCAGGACAGCGTTTTGAAGATGGGGAGAGGTTCTGGAGATTAGGTCAAGCAAATGCATTGAATAGTGGTTTTGAAAGTTTTGTTCCGTGGAGGGTATAGTATTAGAATAATTGAGGTCAACGTTCTCTCTTACAGTCCCCGTTAAGTTTTGCTGTAACACTCGGACAACGTAGGCTCCACTGGTGCACGTAGTCAGCTGCGAGCTTTTACAGGTTCTTTTGGTTTGCTTTATCTTTGGCTTTATCTGCAGCTGGCGCTGTGGTTATAGAGTAGGCTTGTGTTGGTTTTGGCTGGGGTAGAGTTAATTTTCTTCATAGTAGCTAGGATGGGGCCATGTTTTGGATTTGTGTTGGAAACTGTTTATAACACAGGGATGTTTTAGTTACTGCTGAGCAGTGCTTACACAGGGTCAAGGCCTTTTCTGCTTCTCACCCCACCCCACCAGTAAGTAGGCTGGGAGTGCACAAGAAGCTGGGAGGGGACACAGCTGGGACAGCTGACCCCAACTGACCAAAGGGATATTCCATACCATATGATGTCACGCCAGAGTGATGGCGTTTTGTCTTCCCAAGTAACCGTTACCCGTGATGGAGCCCTGCTTTCCTGGAGATGGCTGAACATCTGCCTGCCCATGGGAAGGAGTGAATGAATTCCTTGTTTTGCTTTGCTTGTGTGCGCCGCTTTTGCTTTACCTATTGAACTGTCTTTATCTCAACCCACGAGTTTTCTCACTTTTACTCTTCTGATTCTCTTCCCCCATCCCACCAGGGGGGGTGTGAGTGAGCGGCTGCGTGGGGCTTAGTTGCGGGCTGGGGTTAAACCATGACAAGACTAAGTCTGGTTTGGGGATGTCTAGCACGGGAGGAAGCATGTCATGGCCACATGATGCAAAGTGCTCCTCTGATACATGGTCACAACTTTTTTTTTTTTTTAAACAAAAATAGCCCTCCTTTATACAGAGGCTTTATACTGTATGTCTGTTTCTAGTATGCTACCTTTTCCTCCTGCAGCCTAAAGAGTCGCTTGGGTTCTAGTGAATTTGATGGAAGCTGGATGTCTGATCTGTGTCAGATTTGTAGTGTGAATTTATCTGGTATTAAAGGTTATGGGACTACAGCCTTAGCATTGCAGAAATCCGAGAGGTGCAAAGCAATCTATTCCTCTGGGTGGCGTGGTCTTAATTGAGTTATGGCAGTTGTGGGGATGATTAGAGTCTGAAACAATAGCTATGAATTGCTCTCTTCAGGCCAGGGTTTTGTCATCAATTTTAACTTATCTAAGGGTGAGGTTTCAGGGGGGCACTGAGCCATCTGATAGCTCACTGCTGCAGGAAGAGCCTCTTCTTTTCAACTTCTTCCCCTCCCTTCTACAGCTGCACTGCCTAATTCATGGTTTACTGCTCCAGGAGAAATAGACATTGGGATTTCTTTTTTTTTCCAAGCTAAAAGTGGGATAGACCTGATGACTTTCTTCCATTTAATAATCACTGCACAGTTGTGACAAGCCCCCCATGGCCACTGTCCTTTTATTCTTCCTACACTGCTCCAGGGTTCTGATTTCAACTTTCCCTTGTCAATAGCAACAGCGTTCAAAGGACAAGAGAAGGCAGAATGGGAAGAGGGTGATTTTGCGCTGCCCCCTCTCCCTCTTCCCAATGACTTTAACATCACTCTCGCAGGCCTCTATTTTTTCCGATGCACGTATATAGATACAAAAGGTCTGAAATGTTAGAAACACTACATGGTATGGCGTCAGAGGGTTGCGTGTCAAGAGTCCTACACAAGGTAGCATGAGGACTGCTTTATGAAGGGCTTCTATACTGAGAGCAAACAGCGATGACTTTTCCTCCCATTTCAATCTAGTCACCTATGCAGGAGACTATGAAGGTTATGAGTTATATTCTGGTTTGGTAAACTATTATTTAGCATCTTTTCTCTCTAATTGCAGTTAAGTTTCTTGCAAGGCTTCTAAAGTCT